GGGGGGGGGGGGTGCTTTATGCAGGAAGCTCAAACAAGAAGAAAGCCGCCATCATTGGGGGTATCGTTGGAGGTGTAGGACTTCTTTTGATTGTATCGGCTGTGTTCCTATGGTATCGACTATCAAGAAAACCAAAGGCAACTGAAAGAGGTAATATTTGATGATCTTTTTCTCAATTAAGTAGTAACCAATATAGTAGCTCTTTTCATTTGTCCTTTCATTTATTTAAGTAGCATATGATATGGTATCTACTGTTCAGGTAATATAGTGGGAGCAACTGAGCTGAGAGGTCCAATGAGCTACAGATTTAAGGACCTAAAAATTGCTACCCAAGATTTCGATGAAAGTAATAAACTTGGCGAAGGCGGTTTTGGTGATTTTACAAGGTACGTTAATACTGAAACAGTTGAAGATCCTTATCTCAATCAAATTGACTAGATAATCTTGATCTGACTTCTATTCATTTATCCACTTAATTTAATTGATATGATGATTTTAATTATTGAACAAGGCACTTTGAGAAATGGACATGTAGTTGCGGTTAAAAAACTAGCAATTTTTTCAAGCAGAGCAAAAGCAGATTTTGAGACTGAAGTTCAGCTTATCAGCAATGTACATCATCGCAATCTCATTCGTCTCTTGGGATGTTCTAACAAAGGAGCAGACCTACTACTTGTTTACGAGTACATGGCAAATGGCAGTCTCAAGAGATTCCCGCTTACTATTTTTGTCCAAGTCAAATCATTATGTTCAAGTAAATTTGAAATAATCTTACCTGTCAATGTTTTGCCGGCGACAAACGAGGGATGCTCAACTGGAAGCAACGATTTGATATAATCTTTGGCATAGCTCGTGGCCTTGTCTACCTGCACGAGCAATTCCACGTCTGCATCATCCATAGAGATATAAAATCCAGCAATATTCTACTAGACGATGAATTTCAGCCAAAAATTGCTGATTTTGGGCTTGTAAGACTTTTACCTGAGGATCAGAGTCATGTCAGCACTCAGTTTGCTGGTACCTTGTAAGTCAATTTGACTGCTCGAGTTTCTTATCTGATATCACTAAAAGCATTATGAGAACAACTCGATGAACTCTAATTGAAACAGGGGATATACTACACCAGAATATGCAATTCATGGACATCTAACAGAGAAAGTCGACGTCTATAGCTTTGGAGTTGTCGTTCTTGAAATAATCAGTGGCCGGAGGAGCAATGATATGCAAATTGAGCCTGTCACTGAATATCTCCTTGAAAAGGTCTGTTTTCATTTTCAAATTCCACTTTTCCTTTCATATGTTACTAAGTATTCTCTTCCAACTTCTCTGTCCCATTCTAAATGCACCTNTGTTACTAAGTATTCTCTTCCAACTTCTCTGTCCCATTCTAAATGTACCTGTGCTATGGTGAAAATAGGCGTGGAAACTTCATGAAACTGCCATGCCAGAAAAATTGGTGGATGAGACTTTAGACCCCAATGAATACAATGAACAAGAAGCGAAGAAAATCGTAGAGATTGCCTTAATGTGTACACAATCACCAGCAAATCTTAGGCGAACCATGTCTGAAGTTGTTGTCATGCTATTAAGTGATCATAGCACAGACGCGCGAACTCCTAGCAGACCTACTGTCATTAGCATGGATAAGAGTACACCAGCGGACTCATCCATTACTACTGGATCTTCAGCTTCTAATGCAGCAAGTACTTTTTCTGATTTCACTGGCCGCTAGCTACATAAGATTATACGATAGACCTGAAAATTATGCTGGCACCACAGCATCTGAAAAAACATGGAAAGTATGCTACAGTGCAAAATGACCACTATTTAAGTTATTCAAGTCTTAGTTTTTCATGGTTCATATCCGTGACTGACTATGCAAAGTAGAACTCCATCATCATTGCAGAAGCAATGAGAAATTTGCTGTCTTCACTGTTAGAGTGTCTTATTAAATGATGAGCTTGAACTCGACTCCGTACAAAATAAAATTCAACCTCAATTCTTTGATGTAGAAAATGCAATTTTGTAAATCTTCTGCGTATACTAATACTCAAATTTCAAAGTGATATCACAATCTTCCACGTGGCAACAAATAACAATGCAGTATGGTGATTGTGTACTGCTGTTGATATCGTCGAAGAATAACTAGTTAAGCTCAAAGCTAGACTTCTGTATAACAAAATAAACAAGGTAAGTTCAAGGCATAAAGTATGCATAGGGAAAACGTACTCTTATCTCTCTTAACAACAGACCGAGTAGGGGAAG